AGTAGGAACGGCAGCAGGGACCGCAGCAGCGGCGGTCAGAGAACCATGCCCACGGTTGTTTAAGAGCCTGAGGAAATAAATCAACCCGAATCCGAAACATTCCCATGCGAGAAACAGATGTCCCCTGGAGCCATCTTGCTGCTTTGGTTATGGCAGATACGCATGAACGATCACTGATCCATGCGTTCATAGCTACAGCTCCACTTCAAACCCATTGCATATTCACATTGGGCCCCTTTTCTTTCTGCTGCATTTTCGAAATGCAACAACTGCAGTTTAGTTACCCAGTTTAATACTAGTGACCTAGCTATTTAAATGCATGGCCCCTCCTTCCTCCTGCAGATAGACGAATTTAAATACATAATTTAACAATAGTGACTTGCGAGTAATGAGATTGATGCTGTAAAGATGGCGCCGTGCAAGAGCTCTGTGTGTGCCGTCTGGAGCACGATGGGGTAGTCTTTGCACATTTTTTCCAACGTGGTTTTACTGCAAGTGGCAGAACATGAATCTGAATTAATGCACATTGCTCCTCTTATATCCCTCAGACATTGGAGATTGATGCCATTTAAGATGCATTGACCCTCAGTTAGCTCAACACGTGTAAAACGGAGCCTGCAGACCAAGCACGGGCGAAGACTGACGCCTGCAGTCAAGTGCGTAGGGCAAAAACCAGCCGCCTGCAGCCTAGACTCCGGGATTAAACTGTCCGCGGTCGGCACACTCACTGTACTCACATGCCAGGAGACTTGGGAAAAGCGACGGGACAACGCGGCACCGCCAGTCGGAGGCAGGGACACGCACAGCACCGCCAGACCGTCTGCGCGCGGCAGCAGACCACGAGGAACGAGCAGCACAGAACCGCGGAGGGGCCCCGCGGAGCAGCCCGCAGAAGAGCCCGCAGAGGAGGAGAGCAGTGGAGACACGCGAACCACAGCAGGTGCAGGGACGCGGAGGAGGAGCAGACCACGAGCAGCCAGACTGAGGACAGCCGGGCCACGCGCACGAGCAACACGTGAGCAGAAGCGACCCCTCCAGAACAACGCATGCATTTGCGAACAGGAGCGTTAGCGACATGCACCTTGCAGGCTTCAGAAGTTTGCAGACTTCAGAAGATCGGGAAGTGGGCGTCTCCGGCTTTTAACTTGCTGTCCTGGTGGTTATTGGTTGACTGGGTGTGGGCGTTGCTGGTATTGATGAGTCGAGGAATAGCAGCCTGTGGCCTGGCAGCAACAGCCGGGTCTACCACGGTGAACTTTCGCGAAAGCTCCATTTGTTTATGTAACACCAGGGAAATGAAATATATTTATTTTGTGTCGTGGTTTTTGTTTTTGTAAAACGTGTAAATAATATATCTGTAAGAAGAACAGTGTCTTCTGCTTCTCATTGGTCTCTCTCTGGTCTCGCTCTGGGCTCGCTCTGGTCTCTCTGCTCTTTCTCTGGTCTCGCTCTGGTCTATCTCTGCTCTCTGCTCTCTCTCTGGTCTCTCTCTGGTCTCTCTCTGGTCTCTCTGGTCTCTCTCTGGTCTCTCTGGTCTCGCTCTGGTCTCTCTCTGCTCTCTCTTTGGTGTCTCTCTGGTCTCGCTCTGGTCTTTTTCAAGTCTCTCTCTGGTCTCACCCTGGTCTCTCTCTGGTCTCTCTGGTCTCTCTGCTCTCTCTCTGGTCTCTCTCTGGTCTCTCTCTGGTCTCTCTCTGGTATCTCTCTCGACTCTCTCTGGTCTTTTTCAAGTCACTCTCTGGTCTCTTCCTGGTCTCTCTGTTCCTCTCTTGTCTCTCTCTGGTCTCTCTGCTCTCTCTGGTCTCCCTCTGGTGTCTCTCTGGTCTCTCTCTGGTCTTTTTCAAGTCTCTCTCTGGTCTCACCCTGGTCTCTCTCTGGTCTCTCTGCTCTCTCTCATCTCTCTTGTCTCTCTGGTGTCTCTCTGGTCTTTTTCAAGTCTCTCTCTAGTCTCACCCTGGTCTCTCTCTGGTCTCTCTGGTCTCTCTGGTCTCTCTCTGGTCTCTCTAGTCTCTCTGGTCTTTCTGGTCTCTCTGGTCTCTCTCTGGTCTCTCTGGTCTCTCTCTGGTCTCTCTCTGGTCTCTCTCTGGTCTCTCTGGTCTCTCTCTGGTCTCTCTGGTCTCTCTGGTCTCTCTCTGGTCTCTCTAGTCTCTCTGGTCTCTCTGGTCTCTCTCTGGTCTCATTTGTCACTCTGGTCTCTCTCTGGTGTCTCTCTGGTCTTTTTCAAGTCTCTCTCTAGTCTCACCCTGGTCTCTCTCTGGTCTCTCTCTGGTCTCTCTGGTCTCTCTCTGGTCTCTCTCTGGTCTCTCTTGTCTCTCTGGTCTCTCTGGTCTCTCTGGTCTCTCAGGTCTCTCTGGTCTCTCTCTGGTCTCTCTGTCTCTCTGGTCTCTCTCTGGTCTCTCTCTGGTCTCTCTTGTCTCTCTGGTCTCTCTCTGGTCTCTCTGGTCTCTCTAGTCTCTCTGGTCTTTCTGGTCTCTCTGGTCTCTCTCTGGTCTCTCTAGTCTCTCTGGTCTTTCTGGTCTCTCTGGTCTCTCTCTGGTCTCTCTGGTCTCTCTCTGGTCTCTCTCTGGTCTCTCTCTGGTCTCTCTGGTCTCTCTCTGGTCTCTCTCTGGTCTCTCTAGTCTCTCTGGTCTCTCTGGTCTCTCTCTGGTCTCTCTTTGGTCCCTCTCTGGTATCTCTCTGGTATCTCTCTCGACTCTCTCTGGTCTTTTTCAAGTCACTCTCTGGTCTCTTCCTGGTCTCTCTCTGGTCTCTCTGCTCTCTCTGGTCTCCCTCTGGTGTCTCTCTGGTCTCTCTGCTCTCTCTGGTCTCCCTCTGGTGTCTCTCTGGTCTCTCTCTGGTCTTTTTCAAGTCTCTCTCTGGTCTCACCCTGGTCTCTCTCTGGTCTCTCTGCTCTCTCTGGTCTCTCTCTGGTCTCTCTCTGGTGTCTCTCTGGTCTTTTTCAAGTCTCTCTCTAGTCTCACCCTGGTCTCTCTCTGGTCTCTCTATGGTCTCTCTCTGGTCTCTCTGGTCTCTCTGGTCTCTCTGGTCTCTCTCTGGTCTCTCTTGTCCCTCTGGTCTCTCTCTGGTGTCTTTCTGGTCTTTTTCAAGTCTCTCTCTAGTCTCACCCTGGTCTCTCTCTGGTCTCCCTATGGTCTCTCTCTGGTCTCTCTGGTCTCTCTGGTCTCTCTGGTCTCTCTCTGGTCTCTCTTGTCACTCTGGTCTCTCTCTGGTGTCTCTCTGGTGTCTCTCTGGTCTTTTTCAAGTCTCTCTCTAGTCTCACCCTGGTCTCTCTCTGGTCTCTCTCTGGTCTCTCTGGTCTCTTTCTGGTCTCTCTGGTCTCTCTGGTCTCTCTCTGGTCTCTCTGGTCTCTCTGGTCTCTCTCTGGTCTCTCTCTGGTCTCTCTGTGTCTCTCTGGTCTCTCTCTGGTCTCTCTGGTGTCTCTCTGGTCTTTTTCAAGTCTCTCTCTAGTCTCACCCTGGTCTCTCTCTGGTCTCTCTCTGGTCTCTTTCTGGTCTCTCTGGTCTCTCTGGTCTCTCTCTGGTCTCTCTCTGGTCTCTCTGGTCTCTCTGGTCTCTCTCTGGTCTCTCTCTGGTCTCTCTGTGTCTCTCTGGTCTCTCTGTCTCTCTGGTCTCTCTGGTGTCTCTGGTCTCTCTGGTCTCTCTCTGGTCTCTCTAGTCTCTCTGGTCTTTCTGGTCTCTCTGGTCTCTCTCTGGTCTCTCTCTGGTCTCTCTCTGGTCTCTCTGGTCTCTCAGGTCTCTCTCTGGTCTCTCTGGTCTCTCTGGTCTCTCTCTGGTCTCTCTAGTCTCTCTGGTCTCTCTGGTCTCTCTGGTCTCTCTCTGGTCTCTCTCTGGTCTCTCTCTGGTCTTTCTGGTCTCTCTCTGGTCTCTCTCTGGTCTCTCTGGTCTCTCTGGTCTCTCTGGTCTCTCTCTGGTCTCTCTCTGGTCTCTCTCTGGTCTCTCTCTGGTCTCTATGGTCTCTCTCTGGTCTCTCTCTGGTCTCTCTGGTCTCTCTCTGGTCTCTCTGGTCTCTATCAGGTCTCTCTGGTCTCTCTGGTCTCTCTCTGGTGTCTTTCTGGTCTCTCTGGTCTCTCTCTGGTCTCTCTGGTCTCTCTCTGGTCTCTCTGGTCTCTATCAGGTCTCTCTGGTCTCTCTGGTCTCTCTCTGGTGTCTTTCTGGTCTCTCTGGTCTCTCTCACTCTCTGTATAAAGTGCTGATAAAGAAGAACAGTGTCTTCTGCTGGAAACTGAAGCTAGTTTACTCCTCAGTTTTAGTGAATGATTTTTTTGACGGGAGTCGAGTTGTTTTGGAAGATTTAAACGATGTGAATCCAGTTTGTTGAAGGAAGTGAAACATCCAAACGCTTTGATGAGTTTGTGTTTATGAAAAGTTACAGAAAAGTTGGGAGAGCAGTTTGAAGATGAGACTTTTGTAAACTCTTTTCTAAGTGGTGGAACGGAATGCACGCACACACACACACACACATACAGGACAAACAGGACACACATTTTTAATTTTTAATATATGTTTTATTATTTTTATTTTTAACCCCCCCCCCACCCCATTCTATTTTATTTTTATTTTTCAGTTCAACAAAGCTTTAGGCATATCTTAAAAATCCACATTCTTAAGCTATGCAAAAAGGCTTTGTTTTTCCCAATTTGGTTGTGATTTTTTGTGTTAAGTTGCGAAAACCCTCCATTTAAATCTTTTTTTTTTGAGTTCTTCAAAGCTCAATGCATATCATAAAAATCTGCATTTTTACAATATGCCATTATACATTTAATATTACATTATGCCATTATGCGATATTTAAATGAGCCTTGTTTTTCCCAATTTGATTTTCAAATTTCAATGTTTTTTTTTTCTTTTTTCCCCTTTTTGTTGAATTTTGTGAAATCAACCTTCATTTTTTTTTTTTTTTTCCTGCTTGTTTTTTGTCTTAATTATGTTTTTTTATGTCCCCAGTCCTTCTGCGGTGACTTCCTACAGTAAGTGAAGGTGACCTCAGGCAGGAGTGGTGTGCTCTTAACACGCTGATCTGAGGTATGCTCTCAGAGGACCAGGCGACACTCTGCTCCTCCTGGTCCTGAACATTTTAAGAACTCGGGAGAAGAAGCGTCCTGGTCGTCGGCCTCGGTCCTCGTTGAAGTCTTGGAGCTGGATGTTCAGATTTCTCACCGCTGCCTCCACAAACCAGTCGCTCTGGAGCAGGGCGGAGGAGAGAGGTCCCAGCTCTTCCCGGAGACTTCTAGCCGCCTCTTTAGCTTTAGTTTTGAGGTCCTTGGTCTTCAGGTCTGTTCCTTGGGGTTTGGAGACTCTTCGCTCCACCTCACGCAGTCGCAAAATGACTTTTCCTTGTTCCCTAATATCCAGGAACACGGGGGATTTGTCCAAGAGCTTTTGGATCATCGCTGAAACCATGAAGTGAGCGGCATCGGAGCTGACGTCCTCTGTCTCTGGTGGGACGGTTTTCTCTGGTGGACTGACAGTTTCTGAAGGACTGTTAAAGTCCTGGAGGTTTGGGGTTTCTGGAGCAGGAGGTTCTTGGATAACCTCAGGTGTGTTATGGTCCTGCACCAGATTCTCAAGGTCAAGAGAGGAGATGAGGTCCAGGGACGAAGGAAGATCCACTGGACTGTCCTGCTCCGGAGAAGTCTGGGCCACAGCGCAGAGGGTCTGAACCAGGTCCTCAGGGATTGTCTCCTCAGGGAAATGCACTTCTGTGATTGGCTCCTCTGGGACAGGCACCTCTGTGATTGGCTCCTCGGGGACAGGCACCTCTGTGATTTGCTCCTCGGGGACAGGCACCTCTGTGATTGGCTCCTCGGGGACAGGCACCTCTGTGATTGGCTCCTCAGGGAAAGGCACTTCTGTGATTGGCTCCTCTGGGAGAGGCCCCTCTGTGATTGGCTCCTCGGGGACAGACACCTCTGTGATTGGCTCCTCGGGGACAGGCACCTCTGTGATTGGCTCCTCGGGGACAGGCACCTCTGTGATTGGCTCCTCGGGGACAGGCACCTCTGTGATTGGCTCCTCGGGGACAGGCACCGCTCTGATTGGCTCCTCGGAGTCTCTCTCTCTGTGGGATGCAGGTGTGTCCTTCTGGGCTGGTGTGACAGTATCTTTAAACTTCTGCCGGGCCTCGAGCTTCTCTGTCTCTCGCAGTTTGAAGACTCTCTGCTGGAAGAGGAGCTCCTCGGAGGGAGACAGCTTAGGGTTGTCCAGCTCCATCTGCTCTTTGAACCCCATCATGTGCAGCATCGCCTCTGCTGCCTCCAGCTTGGCCGTCTTCTTGTTTGGACCCAGGCCTTGACATGTCCTCTGGTCCACGCTGACCTCCATACAGAACTCTGACGCACGGTAGCCACGGTGTTGGAAGCCAACCACCCTGTACTCGGCCGGCCTCTGCTTCCGCACCATCAGGATCTCTGCCAGGGCACTGATGGGGTCTTTCTTGTAGAAGAAGTAGACCCGCTGTGAGGGGTCCACCAGCTCCATGTGCGGTTTGGACCAGTATGGAGTCACGTCCTCTGGCAAAGGACGCTTCCTCAGCTGATGCAGAACCACCTTAGCTGCACCTAGCTTGGCGTTTTGTTTGTTGGGGCCTGAACCAAATCCCACCAGGTCCCCTACTCTCAGCTGTATGTGGAAAGTCGGTGCATGGCAAGGGCCTTCTTTTCCCATCTCATTAAACTGCAGCTGCAGGTGGTGCAGTAATGCCAGTTCGTACAGGAGGGACAGGTCGGTCTTGTGGACTTCACTGGGGAGTCCACGCTGCATGTTGTCTGTGTTTGTGTTTGCTTCGGTTTCTATAATGTGGTCAAATAATACACTGGTGTCGGACAGATATTTACAAGGCCTGTTTGCGTCTTCCTCACGTAACCTTTTAAAGCAGACATTCTAGAATGACATCATAAAGCATGCTGGGTTGCCATGACAACATAGCAAGGCATGTTGTCATGACGACGTGAGGCCTGTGCACAGAAGGACTTATCTTTGAAAATGTCCTGTTGTTTTAATCCTGTATAATTTGAAATCACATGGTTGTTTCTGTAATAAACTAATAATAATATTTATTTTGTTGCCGGGGCGTGACTTGAGAACTCTGCCGCCGCTGGAGCTCTCGCAGGACAGTCTGTGTGCAGGACACTCACGTGAGCGCCCCCTGCAGGTTCTGCTGTGACATTCAACAGGTCTCAGCGCAGTCAGAGGTCTGGACGAACATCACGTTTCATTGATTTCATCTGAGTCTCGACAAATGAGCAAAGTATCATCAACAAAAGAGTGTAATGTGGATCTGGGTCACACTTCCTGAAGAGTCATGTCCTGTAAAGACTGTTCAAACAAATCTGATGCTTTATGTTCTTCATGAAAAAATTTCCAAAATCAGAGTAAGTCAAAGTCCAGATAGATTCAGTCCCACTTCTCCATCTCCCTGATTCTTTCTCAGTAATAGTACATCCTCCACGTTGGCTTCTTGTCATTATACTATAGTCAGAAGTCCTTTTACCTGCTTTTATTACTACAGTAATACATTTATTCCATATTCTACACATGCTACGACATTCCACAAACCTCCTCACCTGCTGCTACTATTACTATTGTTTATTCTGGTCATATTCTCTGCTGCTAAAGTACTGAATAAACATCTGTAAATACACCATGGTGTTGGTGACTACAGTGAATACTCTGCAAGAGACTTATCCTTGAAAGTGCAATTATAGCTCCAGAGTTGATCCTTTTCTAAATTTTTTTGGTGTTATCAAAAACCAGAGTACCCGGAGAAAATCTACGGACACAAGGAGAACAAGCAAGCTCCACTCTGAAAGGTCCCTTCTGGCTGAAAGTCACTCACTACTCCAGTATGTTTTTAAGTTAGCTTGAGTCAATATTTTGGCTATTCTACCCACCTCTGGGAATGTATTTAAGTTTGTGACAAAATTGGTGAAATAGTCAAGTGTGTGTGTGTTAAAAGTGTGTTAAGGTAGTTCCGTGCACGACCATAGGGGGCGGAATAAGCTTTTTGGGATGGAGATATTCGGCATTTCCGACATTTTCACTGTTTGTAGACATTTTTGGACATGCTTGATTTTTGGTGTGGAGCTTGTTTTGGGCCTCTACAACACTGTAGTCTCTCTCTGGTCTCTCTCTGGTCTCTCTCTGGTCCCTACATGGTCTCTCTAGGGTCTTTCTCTGGTCCTTCTCTGGTCCCTCTCTGGTCTCTCCCTGGTTTCATTCTGGCCTCTCTTATTATGGTCACAGTTCTATTCAATCACTAGTTTTCACAGGTTTTCCAGCAATTCATTCATTCATCAACAGCCAGAGAGACCAGACAGAGACCAGAGAGAGACCACAGAGAGAAACCAGAGAGACCACAGAGACCAGAGAGAGACCAGAGAGAGACCAGAGAGAGACGAGAGAGAGACCAGAGAGACCAGAGAGAGACCAAAGAGAGACCAGGGTGAGACTAGAGAGAGACTTGAAAAAGACCAGAGAGACACCAGAGAGACACCAGAGGTACACTAGAGAGAGATCAGAGAGAGAGACGGACCAGAAAGAGACCAGAGGTACAGTAGAGAGAGATCAGAGAGAGAGACCAGAAAGAGACCAGAGGTACACTAGAGAGAGATCAGAGAGACCAGAAAGAAACCAGAGGTACACTAGAGAGAGATCAGAGAGAGAGAGAGACCAGAAAGAGACCAGAGGTACACTAGAGAGAGATCAGAGAGAGACCAGAGAGACCAGAGAGAGACCAGAGAGAGACCAGAGAGACCAGAGAGAGACCTGGTGTCTCCCTCTCTGGTCTCTTTCTCTCTCTCTGGTCTCTCTGGTCTCTCTTAAGTCTCTATCTGGTCTCTCCCTGGTCTCTCTCTGGTCTCTCTCTGGTCTCTCTCTGGTCTCTCCCTGGTCTCTCTCTGGTCTCTCTCTGGTCTCTCTCTGGTCTCTCTCTGGTCTCTCCCTGGTCTCTCTCTGGTCTCTCTCTGGTCTCTCCCTGGTCTTTCTCTGGTCTCTCCCTGGTCTCTCTCTGGACAGTTTTCTGTGCAGTGACTCAATCTCTTCTCAGTCTAATCTGGATTTCCACTTCTCAAGACAAACAGATAATCTCCTTTATCTTTAAAGTTTAGGAATGTTTTTCCAATGTCAGTATTTGACCTTTACCATCCGCTTGGTTTTCAGTTCCAGCTTATTTATTTATGTCAGACATTTCAGACGTTTATGACAATTTCAGACACAAAACCAACAGGCAGAAGCTAAAGGTCATGGACGCCAAATGACCTACATGGGTGTTTACTACGGCAAAAAGAGAAACAGATCTGTCTTTGACCTGGATATGAACACTGTCGGAGAAGAAGCCTGTCTCACATTTTCAGGAAGACTGCTCCAGACTGTAGCTGCATGAGGTCGAGCTGACACAGAGGCCCAGGTCATACCATGGTAGTGCTGGACTGGACACCATGGATCAGAGTGGATTACGGAGCTACTGTGTCTGGTATGTGAGGTCAGTGTTTCTACTTTTGACTTTTTTATCTCTCGACAAAACCAGACGTCAGATCATCCAAAGGTTTGCAGCTCGTTACCATGACAACCCTGAATCCAAAGATCTATGTCAGGTCACTTAAACCCGGACAAAATTCCCTCCGCCAAACAGTTGGACCGCTTCCAACCTCTGGGTCTACAGCCTCAGTCCTGGGTCTACAGCCTCAGTCCTGGGTCTACAGCCTCAGTCCTGGGTCTACAGCCTCAGTCCTGGGTCTACAGCCTCAGTCCTGGGTCTACAGTCTCAGTCCTGGGTCTACAGCCTCAGTCCTGGGTCTACAGCCTCAGTCCTGGGTCTACAGCCTCAGACCTTGGTTTACAGCCTCAGTCCTGGGTCTACAGCCTCAGTCCTGGATCTACAGCCTCAGTCCTGGGTCTACAGCCTCGCAGTGTCAAAGTGACCCACAGAGCTGTATATAACCCTTTCTACTAAGATACTGGTCTGAGTTTAAGATTCAATTCCAAGTATTTCAATCTGGACGGACGACAAGAGACAAGATGTTTTAACAGATTTATTGATTGTAAGTTTGTCTGAAGTTTATTAGTTTGGCTTGGATCTGGGCTTGATGCAGATTATCATCCTGAGCCTGGGAGGGGGAGGTGGAGGAGGAGGTTGTGGGTTAAAAGGCTGTTTGGTGAGCGGTGTCTTGCTTATAGGCTCTTGCTTGATTGGCCGGGAGTAGATGAAGCTGATGTGATTGGCCGGGAGTAGATGAAGCTGATGTGATTGGCCGGGAGTAGATGAAGCTGATGTGATTGGCCGGGAGTAGATGAAGCTGATGTGATTGGCCGGGAGTAGATGAAGCTGATGTGATTGGCTGAGGAAGGAGAGCTGCAGCCTGGTGCGGTGACGTGCCCGGGCAGTCGACCAGTCTGAAGTTTCGCCTAAAGGTTCATAAGAGGTTTTTCCCCAATTTTATGAAAGAACTGCTCTCTCTGAATGATTGACAGTTGGGAGGACCAATAGTAGATGATCCACCCAGACGTAGAAAATCCCACTGTATACCTTAAAGCTTCATTTGTGAATCACTCAAAATCACAGAAGCAGATCTCAAAACACCTCAAATCACAACAGAAACTTGACGACTTGTGTGTTGTCGATTAACAAATAAAAGATCAAAGAATCTGAAAGTTCATACACAGGAAATGCAACAATAACAGACGTTGGAGCTGTTGGTCCGTTTCTCAACAGTTTTCTTTTACAAACTATTCTTGTTGTGACAAACTAAACTTATTTTTGTGACTGTTTTAAAGTTTTCAGTGAGGTTTTTTCGTTATACTAATCATGAATATTTTTCTCTTGTAGTTTCTGGCTGAGTTTAGACTTGGCTTATATTGATGGATCAAGTTCTGAGTGAGTCATGGACTAAATCTGGTCTCACTCTGATCTCTCTCTCATCTCTAGTCTCTGTAACTCTCTCATCTCCCTCTCTCTTGTGTCTCTCTGGGGTCTCTCTCTCTCTCTCTCTTGTCTCACTCTCTGGTCACTCTTTCTGGTCTCTGTCTCTCTCTGGACTCCCTCTCTCTCTGGTCTCTCTCCCCCTGATCTCTCTCTGGTCTCTCTCTAGTCTCTTTCTGGTCTCTCGCTGGTCTCTCTCTGGTCTCTCTCTGGTCTCTCTCCCCCTGATCTCTCTCTGGTCTCTCTCTAGTCTCTTTCTGGTCTCTCGCTGGTCTCTCTCTGGTCTCTCTCTGGTCTCTCTAGTCTCTCTCTGGTTTCTCTCTCTAGTCTCTCTCTGGTCTCTCTCTGGTCTCTCTCTGGTCTCTCTCTGGTCTCTCTCTGGTCTCTAAAACTATATCCAACACATTTCAAATGCTACCAGGAGCAGGAAACCCTTGTATTTCCTGCTGGTTCAGGCCTGGCTTCTTTCTGGTGTATTAATCCCTGGGAGAGTCGTGGATTAAATCTGGCTGTTTGTAGTTCACTTGGTTTTTAATCCAGACTCAGTTATGGTTTTGGCAAA